ATATGATCAGAGATATGCCTTAATATATAGAAGGGAATTAGTACGACACCCGTGTACTACACGGGTGCATGAAAAATAATTTGAACAAAGAAAAAATCGTATATACATAATAAATAAATGAAAGAAATCCCGTTAGAATATGATGTTAGAATCTCGTTTCGAATTCAATTCAAGATTTTGGAGTGTGAATCTTTTTTACCATATATTCGCCAAAAATGAAAAACATTGTTAACTCAATTATCAAATAAAAGAATATAAAATAAATGATGTAGATATGGTGTTAGTTAACTCAATTACCAAATAAAAGAATATAAAAAAATTAATTATCAAATAAAACATTGTTAACTCAATAATCAAATGAAAGAAATATTGTTAACTCTATTATTAATTTAAGTGATCTTTAAAATGGAAAAATAAAATAAGCAAATAAAGATTTGTATGATTTTGAAATTCAAGACAAATTTGGTAAGGAAAGAGAGGTTGATGAGAGACAATGATATATGGTGGAAAAACTAATTATGACACTTTCCAAGCCAATTTTGTCTCCAAATTTTTTATCCGAACCTAAATACAAAACATGAAAATGTGACATGTAGGATTCTAAAGTGTGCGTCCCAGCAACTTAAGCTCAACACGTTTTGAATTAACATACAACGGGAGATATCAATCTTATAAATGTGGAGACTATTACAAATGTTACTAGGTATGTCTAGAGATATTACTCGGTTACTCACTACAAAAAAAATTGTCATATTCTAACAAAAATTTCAACGACAACATATTGCAACGAAAATTCCAATGGATATTCAACTGGTATGACTTCCGTTGCAACGATTGTAATGGATATTCCAATGAAAATATCCAATTGGAAGGAGTTTTCCATTGTAATTTTAGTTGGAATTTGATAATTTCAACAATTATTATCCAATAATTTATTACCGTAAGAATTTTGATTGGAACATGCAATTTCTATTGGAATTTTTAGTTCCATTCATATTTCAACCGTGAGAAAATCAACTATTGGAATCGTCGGAATTCAACAGAAATTCTAGTAGAAAACTCATTCCAGCGAAACATTTTTATTGGAATCCATTAAAAACTTCCAACGAAAATAATTAGATTGGAATATCCATTCAAATTGTCGATTAAATTTCATTGGAATACAATTCTATTGGAATCTCATCATTTTCTTGTAGTTTCTCTTGTAGATCCAAAGATTGCCTTAAAAAGCAACAAAAAAGGAACATAAATACATAATTATATAAGTTCACAAAATATCTATGTACTTGAAAACATTGGAAAATGGTACAAAGTTATTTTAGGCCTAGGTAGATTCTTGAGTTGTTTATGAATTTCTCCGGTAAGTTGTGTTCCTATCTGGTTGAGTAGTGTCTACATAGAGTTTATCACCGTTGGATTACACACGTTCACACACATATCTATGTGTCCCGTGTGGACAATAGGAAGAAATGAACCGAGCTTTTCTAATTATATCTTTTCTAATAGTTCCTTAAAAAATTTGTCATGATTGTATTTTCTTGACAAATAACTAATAGCGAGGTTTAATTTGTAAAATACGAAAAATGTGAGTAACTTTTAAGAGACAAAGAGGTTTTTTCTCAATTAGGTTCTCAAGTTCAGTCCTACTAACTTCAGCCACTCATCAAACAGAGCTGCAATAGCACATGAAGTTTGGACAAATATTCATTAATCTTGAATTCAACGGCGTAAATCATTTTGTGCTAATGATAATCTATATATATATAATAAGAATAACTATTTACCAAAAATAGTAAGCAGAAAAATCTAACAACATTAATTGCATACCATTTTGGGCAAGTTTTGTTTTATTTTTTATTTATTAAATGGAAACATTTAAATATGCCTTCAATCACGAATACTTAATTTTGGTAACAAAATTATTCAATTTTGGTACAAATAATGCTTTTAAAAATATGAGTTTTATTTCAATACCAATTCTTTTTAAAATTAATTGCTATCAACATTCATTAATTTGGGAAAAAAACTTGCAAGTTCATAACCCCTAATAATTGTGTGCAATTCATCAAAATCAATGATATCACATAATTAATTGTCAGATTTGTATGTTTTCAGCCGAGTTGAGTTTTAAAAGAAAAATATCATTTGAATGTCAAAAAATTTTGTGTAAAAAAATAATTTTGCCGATCAAAAAATAACAAATCTACCGACACACACTCAAATTCTAAGAGTTCTTTTGACTAATCGTAAACATCCAAAAAAATCTGAACATAAAAGTACAAAAATTGAATATAAAAACCTTAAAATTAAAAATTTCACATTTCTTTTTCAGGCAAAACAACTAAAATTAACAAAATCTACCGGCGCACACTCAAATTAGAAGGATTTTTTTGATTAATTATAAAAACCAAAAAATTCGAACATAAAACTATAAAAATCGAAAATAAAAACCCTCAAATTGAACAATCCATATTTTGTTTCGTGCAAAACACCTAAAATTAATTTAAAACATCGATTAAATGAAAACTAAAAGAGAATATGTATTTATAAGGCCGTCAGTGTTAGAACGGAAAAGTTTGGAAGATCGATGAAAAAGACAAAAGAAGAAGCTGGAAGCGGCAAAAAATGAAGAAAGAAATGAAGCCCTTGGTCCGATAATTTATCTATTTATACTATGTTCAGTGTAATCTAAAATGTCGATTTCTGTTGACTAATCTAGATCATTGAATTATTTTTTCTATTTTGTTTGGGCCGATATGAACTTTCGAAACCAACATTGTAAATTGGGCCGATATGAATATTTTGAAGCCAATATTTTTCAAAAACATTCTTATTTTACAAGCCCAACATGATTAATATAAATAATTACGCGTATCTTATAATAAGTATTTGTTAAGTTTAATTATAATCAATGATTGATGCTTTATTATATAATTTGAATTTAAATACAAAATCGCCTTTTAAAAGGGACGAAAATAATAAAGCCTCGTGCATCGCACGGGTACTGTACTAGTATGCATTAAGCACTTTCTTAACTACCTTTCGTTAATGTGCAAGGGGAAAAAAAAAGATTTGTTCTTGTGCATCTTTGTGTAGGGACCTATAAAGGAGCATTAATATAGAATTATTACTTTATGCCACAAGGATCTAGTCAGCCCTGATTTCCCTCTTCCTTTTCAAGAATCTATAAACTTTGCATATCAATATTAAGATCATTGGAGAGAATGGTATCAGAATCTAATAATGATAACAAGAATATAGAACAAATACACTCACTTTGAAAGAGGGAAAAATGGTTGCTCTTCTGTTATGTTGCCTAATAGTTAGATTAGGCATTTTCAATAAACATACGTATTTTCGCACTTAAATGTCATACTTTTCCAGACGAATGGAGAATTATCACTTGAATTATATGGGTAGTGAAAAAAAGAACATAACTTAAAAAGCATGTGTAGTTTGCTTTTTTTTTTTTTTATTTGTATTTTTTCTTTGTAGGTTGTGGAATTAGGTATATATGAAGTCTAAATACACTTGTAGGGAGGGGGGATATCACATCAAAATAAAGTAGTAAAGTTTTATATTTGGTGCAACTAGCATAAAGTTGCTGCCTTTGCAAAAAGAAAAAAGAGTGGGGTTTGATTTGTCATTTACCAAAAGGACTTGCCCCCTCTAAATTCTCTGGCTAGTGGGTGGGACCTTAATATTCACAAACTTCAGAAATGATATATGCTTTGTGGACTGTAAGAAGGTCTTTTCAAGATTCAGTTTATAAGGGGTGATACCATATTTTGACCAAAATTAATGAAACAGAAAATATATATTACTATTGGTCCAAGAAGACTTTGAATTTGAGTAATTCATATTGTTGTGATGAATTTAAAAAAAAAAAACATGGTTATTAACAAAATATTGAAGTTGGCAGTGAATATTCATTCTATTAGATTCATTGTGAGATGTAACTTTTACCAAGTCAGAAGCTTTAAGTTATAACAATATCACTATCATAGAGGGGTTATAGAATGATGAATGATTTAGTTATTGAATTCAAATTCTCAAGTCCTTTCAATTAGGCAGAAGGCTTTAAACTTGTCTACATTTTTCTTGTACTTTTGTGAAAAAAAAAATATGTGAAGTTACAAACTTACAATGGTTCTAAGTTCTAACTTGTAACCCACTCAGAGAAACACAGAATCTAAGCCACTGTTTTAGAGATCTTAAAAGAAAGATCATTTTCTTTTGATATTTGTATCACAACAAACATCAGTAAATACTGATCATTCACAAAAGAAAAGACAAAAAAAAAAAAAAATTGTTACTCGGCTTCTAGAGTATTCTTCAAGACTCCTTCAAGACGAGAAGAACATTCGTTTGATGAATAAAAAAAGAGGATAGGCTCATTACATTCATACAAAAATGAGAATTGACTCATAAGTAATTGAAGCCTGAAAAAAAAAACCCTCGTCGCATCGTCGTATAAAGACTACGCACGCGTAATAGAGAAGCATTACACGAATGCTCAACAAATTCCATATAAAAACGAATATCAAATATACTTGCAAACGACGTACTTTATATTTTCTATGATTTGCAAGAACTACAATACTGTTTTTTTCGTACAAATATTTTTCGCCATGAACGATCAAGTAAAATATATACAAGATGGCATGCATTTCCTTCTCCCGGCTCGAAAACTCGTAACACATTTCGTTTTATTCAATCACATGTTTACTTACTCCTAAACGCCGCACTTTTTTCTGAACTCATTCTGTTCAAAGATAAATGCACCGAAAAAAGCCTCCCTCCTCACCTTATGTTCTCAAAAAATTGATCCTCGATAAAGACTTTTTAAGCGTTTTTTGGTTTTGACTCGTTTGTGCTCGAACACTTAATTTCAAACAAAATGAAACTAACTTGAAGAGAACCCTTCTTTCATTAAGCTGCATTTATATATATGGACAAAAAAAAAAGAAAAAAAAAATTGAGGCAACTTGTCGAATAATCTAGTGCGGATTCATCTGGAAAACCGTACCATGATGTTGCCCAAAGTGCGGCGGGCCAAGCCCGCTGTAACCAGAGGTCCCTTGAAAGTGGGCCATGATCGGGCTGAAGCCCAATACAGCTCCCGGGCTTTTCAGGCCCGGTTCGTAATTGGGTCGGACCACAACATCTCCATCAAGATTGTGCTGCTGCACTTGTAAGATCAAGTTCTGCTTTTCCGGCGAGTCGAGTGGTCCATTATTCTTTTCCGGCGAAGGAGATTTGATCTCGTCGAGATTAACGGTCGTGATGTCGTGTATGCTCGACCGTCTTTTGTCCTTCCCGCCGGAAAGTTGCCGGATAAAGTATTTTTGGGCATGGCTTGCGACTTGCGTCGGGGTTCGTGTGGTCACGAAGTTACGCGAAATGTTACGCCAATCGCCTTTTCCGTATTTTTTCAGTCCAAGTAGAAATTGTCTGAGAATTTCAATCCAAGAAAAAATGAACCAAAAAAATTGAATTAAATTAAATTAAAAACACATCAATCATCAACTGATTATCAATATATAGTAGCTGAATACAAATAGTTTCACACAAACCATATACTAAACATGTCTACTGGTAAAATGGAATTATCTCTTTTTTTCAATGCCAAGTTGAGACTACACAAAATTATTATAATAA